CAAAGTTCATTCTCCTTCTAAAGAAGAAAGAGAGCAAATTGATAAAATGCCCGAGCATGAGTTGATCAAAAGACTTTTTGAAGTCTTCAAAGAAAAAAAATATTTGGTAGTCCTCGATGATATCTGGAGAAGTGAAGATTGGAATAGTCTTGAACCTGCTTTTCCACGAGGTAAAAAAGGGAGCAAAATTTTATTCACAACACGAAATAAGGATGTGGCATTATGTGCAGATCCTTGCAGCTCCCCAATAGAGCTTCCACTTCTTACTGATGATGAAAGTTGGGAGCTTTTCAAGAGGAAAGCATTCCCCAGAAATACAACGGAGTCTGATGCTGGCTCAGGAGAAATTTTCGAGACGCCAGGAAGACAGATGGTGAAAAAATGTGGAGGGCTACCTCTTGCAATTGTTGCGTTGGGAGGCTTGCTAGCAACTAAAATGTCACAGGACCAGTGGGAGAGGGTCCAAGGAAACATGCCTGCACACTTAAACAAGGTCCAACAACAAGATCATCAGTATGATGCAGTGAAGGGAATTTTGGATTTAAGCTACAACGAATTGCCTTATTATTTAAAACCATGCTTCTTATATCTTGGTCATTATCCAGAAGATTGGGAGATCTCAAAGAAGGAACTCATTCGATTATGGATTGCTGAAGGTTTCATTTCACCATCACTTGGAAGAGGAGGAATGTTGATGGAAGATGTTACTGAACAATTCCAGGAAGAGCTGATAAATAGATGTTTGGTTCAAGTTAGCAAGAGGGACCGTACAGGAGTAGGTGTGAAAACATGTCACATACATGATCTCTTGAGGGAATTGTGCGTGAAGAAAGCTCAAGAGGAGAATTTCTTGGAAATTATTCAGCCAAATGATGTGACCTTGTCGGCATCTATGCCACGAAGAATTGCTATTCATCCTGCCCAAAGGTATGTTTTGAAGGGAAAACACCCAAAATTACGTTCTCTGTTGCTCTTTCAAAATGAGAACTTAATAGAATTGCACATTTCAAAATGCCAAAACTTCAAAAATTTAAGAGTCTTGAAAGTTGTGGAAAGGAATGAAAAAGAGTGGCGTGTGTCAAGTGGAATTGGTAATCTACATCATTTGAGATATTTGGGGTTAAAATGTCTTGGAAAAATCATCTTGCCACGATCTTTTGGAATGTTGAAAAGTTTATATACTTTGCACATCCGCAATTTCTTATTAACAATACCTCCTAATATTCTATTCGAGTTGGAAAGTTTAAGGCATTTTCAATTTCTTAATCATCCGAAAGAATTTAATTTCAGATGTGATTGGATGATGCAGCTAAGGTTTCTTTCAAAAATATTCAAACTTTAAAGTACATTTGGGTTGAGAATTTAATTGAAAATAATGCAGTGTTGGGCTTGGCGACTATTCTGAGTTTAGGAATATTTTTTAGGAGAACAAAAGATGTTGAGCCTATCCTAAAAGCACTGGTCGAATCACATCGCCTTCGGTCATTGGACATGAGGTTTTTATGGGATTCAAGCCAATCATTTCCAGGCTTGGAACCGCTTTCTCAGTGTCATCACCTCTCAAAACTATTCTTAGATGGGAAGATAGAAGAAGATCCGCAATCGAGGCATCATGTTTTGAAATTTGTTCCAGCAAACATTGCCAAGTTAACTTTGGTGGGATCTAGGGTGAAGCAGGATCCAATGCCTGTATTGGAAAAGCTGCCTCATTTGAGGACTCTCCGCTTATGGGGGATTTCATACAGGGAGACTAAAATGATTTGCTCTGCTAATGGGTTTCTTCAACTTGATTCTCTTGAAATTGGAGGTTTACTAGAATTAGAAGAGTGGGAGATTGAAATTGGAGGTTCACCAGAATTAGAAGAGTGGGAGATTGAAGAAGGCGCAATGCCACGTCTCCGGATCTTAATTTTGGGTAAATTAGATAATTTGAGGATGATTCCAGAAGGGTTGAGGTATATTACTGCTCTCCAAGAAATGAAATTAGTGGGGATGAACAGGTCATCGGTAGAAAGGATTCAAGTGATAGACGGAAGAGAAGGAGAGGATTTCTCTAAAGTTAGCCACATACCCTCCATCCAAATATCTTACACGAAGGAATGACTGAAAACTCTAATTTTGCAGGTGAGTTATTTGATTTTTTATAAAATAATAATTTCTTTTGTTTTATTTGGGACTATAAATATTCATATATACCATTTCCTTTCCATAAGAGATGATGATATATGCCATTTTCATCTTGGTGTAGGTATAATAAGATGGGCACTGATACAAGGCGGAGTTGGATGCTTTGTTTGATCATGAAAAGCAATCGTGCCAATAGGAGCAAGAAGAGGCTGGGGACACCTTGATTTGCCTTTTGATTGTTTCAAAGTGTGATTTGTTTCTTTTTTCCTTGATAGTTGATTCTGATGATCAAGTGCTTTTAGGAAATGAATTGCTAAGAGCTTTAATGAACTGGCTGTTTATTGATTTTAAATATGCAGTGTATGAAGATTATCCATGTGTCGTTAGCACGCTACTGATAGTTTTATTTTCTGAACCTTACTTCGTTTTAAAGACTTTTTTCTTGTTTATTACTGAATTTGTTTAACTGTTTATCTTCTCTAAAAAAAATCATTGCTTGCAGACTGATAAGTTAGAACAGAAGGAGGGTAAAAGTAATTCTTGATTGATTGAAATTTTTAATGCTCGATGACAGAAAGATCAGTAGCAGAAATGCTTCTGAACTTTCCTGGAAAAGAAAATTGTTGAGAAACTGGCAATAACAGCAAAATCCAAGCTGTATTTAAGTTGCATACTTATTTTGTTCATAATTCTTCAAGCAAAATATTGAAGGATGTCAGAAACAAAAGACTTACCATGCTTGCAATGAGATTTGTAAAAAAGTAAGCATCAAATTCAATGCTGAAGTTAAGAAAATACGGTAAGGAATATCACATTTACTAATTCAATTTTAATTTGTTAATACAATCAGTCCAATGAGATTGAATGCTGCTATACTTCAATTTTTTGCATCAATAAATAATTAAAAGAAATAAAAAAAAAAAAGAGTAAGGCCAGCCCAGATGTATTCCTGAACAGTATGCAAACCAATCCTGAGTGCAGAGAGCAAAGTAGCAACTGCAATTCAAAAAACACTGATAATAAAATCACAAAAGACAAGTACTCAAAATGAATCAAGTCTCTTCTGTAAGAGAAGGTAAACTTCTATTAAAATTTGAAGTTATAAATGTATTGATACTTGCCAGTGATTTACGCAATTACGTAAAAACTTGCACCTGGGAAAAGGCTATTCAAAGATGGTCACAATTGGTATCAAAATGCAAGTCAGCCTCCATCTATTTACATGGAAAAATATATTTCTCACAACAGCATCACAAAATTTGCAACTGCAAGAACTGTGAAAGTTAAATGGGTTGTGCTGTGCTATCACATAACCAAATTAGTGAACCCATCATTTCAGTTGCAGATCAAACATCTGCGGAGATATGATCACGAACTATAATTTTGTGCTAATATCTACTAAAAGCATCTTCAATGTTTCAAAGGTGATGAAACATATACCAACACCTGGCACCACTTTGTAATATTCAGGCAATATCCCTCTATACAAACCTCGAATGCTTTAAGTCCGGAATATGTGCTTAAATGTGCCGAAAAACCCTGTTGTGTAAACGGGGGCTTGTCCACCAGCCCGCTTCAACTGTTTACATTGCCTAATCAGATTCGAAGGAAATATTGCTGCATTTATACAAAACACAAATGAAAAGAGCCATGCATTGTTTTATCCAACGCATTAGAAGGTAATTCATAGAAGAAAATATCA